AACCCCTCTTTTTCAGTTTGAAATTCCTACCTGCATTGTTATTAGCTGACCTCCCAATACCTGGCTAGGTACAAAGTTAACCCCTTAGTCACCAGGTGTTGGTCAGCACTCCTGGTTATGACAGAGGGGCTGTCCTGCAATGCCTCTGCTGCCCCTTGCACACTCTGTCATCTGTACATGCTCATGCTTCACACTCTCCACTTCCCCACCCCTCGTGTCCCACACAGATACCAAGTGGCGGGACCTCCTACCACCAGTAGAGTGTGGGGAGCCCCAGTGAGCCAGCCCGTATTCTACCTTGGTTCCGCATCCCACCGGTGATGTTAACTGGAGAATTCTCCACAGTGCTGTGAGCACAGGCGTGTACTTGGCGCAGTTCACCCCAGTTCCCGACACTTGCCCCTTCTGTGGCGAGAGGGAGACACTGGCACACGTTTACCTTGAGTGTGCCAGGTTACAGCCCCTCTTTCTGCTCCCCCAGAACCTCTTATTGAGGTTCTGGCTGCACTTCTCCCCTCCCCTATTAGTTTATGCACACCCCATCCATGGCTCCACAAAGTCGCGGGACCTTCTGATCAATTTCCTCCTGGCTATGGCCAAGATGGCAATTTATAAAACCAAGGAGTGGAGGTTAGCTGAGGGAGGGGACTGCAACTGTGGGGCCTATTTCCGTTCCTGCATCCGTTCATGCATCTGTGCAGCGTTCCACTAACTGGCGTCCGCTGGCTCTCTTGAGACCTTTGGGGAGCAGTGGGTACTGTCTGGGGTTCTCTTCTCAGTGTCCCCATCCGGTTCCCTTGTTTTAGCCCTTTCACCCTCGCACCCGGCCCTATTTTCTTTTCCTTTTCCCCTGGAATCATTTGGTGTCCAGGGCTCTTTGGATTCTCCCTATAGGCTGTGGGAGAATCCTTTAGATGTGGGTGTCTGACCTAACCTGTCACAATATGTGGTGCTTTAAAAGGGCCAATATCACAAAGCTGAAAACAATTATGAGCCAAGTGAGCTGGGAGGAAGAATTTACTCAGAAAAATGTGAATGATAATTGGGAATCATTTAAAAATACTAGAAGCCCCAAAGTCACAACTGAAGAAAAATAAAGACCATGCTGGTTAACAGTTATTTGGTTTAGGGGAAATGAAGGCAGATATTTATAGGGAATAAATGGAAGGTTGATATTAAAGTATTTGAATAAGAAGCTAGGAATTGTAGAAAATGTATATGAGAAGCAGAGACATAAAGAGAAATCTATGGCCAACAAAGGACAATAAAGATAGTTTTTGAAATATATTAGCAACAAAAAAGGAACCCTAACGATGGCATTGGTCCATTACTAAATGAAAATCATAGAATTATCATTAATGATGCAGAAAAGGAAGAAGTATCTAATTAATATTTCTGTTATGCATGGGGAGGGTAGATGTAGTCACATCATATGATAACACTCTTTGAATGTCATTAGTATCAGAAAAGGATATTAAACAGCAGTTAATAAAGTGAGACATTTTTAATAAGCAGGTCTAGATAATTTAGAATCATAGAATTATAGAGCTGGAAAAGACCTCAGGAGGTCATCAAGCTCAGCCCCCTGCCCAAGGCAGGGCCAATCCCAACTAAATCTCGAGACTTAAAAACGTCTAGGGATGGAAATTCCACCACCTAAGTAACCCATTCTAGTGCTTCACCACCCTCCTAGTTTTTCCTAATATCCAACCTAGACCTCTCCCACTGCAACTTGAGACCATTGCTCCTCATTCTGCCAACCGTCACTACTGAGAACAGCCTTTCTCCATCCTCTTTGGAACCTCCCTTCAGGAAGTTGAAGGCTGCTCTCAAATCCCTCCCTCACTCTTCTCTTCTGCAGACTAAACAAACCCAAATCCCTCAGTCTCTCCTCATAGGTCATATGTTCCAGCCCCCTAATCATTTTGGTCTCCCTCCGCTGGACCCTCTCCAATTCGTCCACGTCCTTTCTATAATGGGGGACCCAGAACTGGACACAATACTCCAGATGTGGCCTCACCAGAGCCGAATAAAGGGGAATAATCACTTCTCTGGATCTGCTGGCAATGCTCCTCCTAATGCACCCTAATATGCCATTAGCCCTCTTGGCTACAAAGGCACACTGTTGACTCATATCCAGCTTCTCATCCACTGTAATCTTCAGGTTCTTTTCTGCAGAACTGCTACTTAGCCATTCGGTCCCCAGCCTGTAACAATACTTGGGATTCTTCTTATAAATTTACATCCAAGAGTTTAAAAAGAGCAGGCTGAAAAAACACAATGGATCATTAATGCTGTTTTTCATTAACCTTTGGGGTACTGGTGAAGATCCAGACAACTGGAAGAAAGCTAATGTACCAGTGTAAACATGTACCTAACAGGTACCTATCTCTTGAAGAGACCCTTGCGGGGGTGGCGAGAGGTAGGAGTGGGTTATGTCTCAGTCATTGTAGTTAGGCACATTTACCACTCTCACCCAGAAGCTTCTGGAATTGGGTGTGGTAGTTTTGGGATCTTCTCCAGTGTTCCCTCTAAGCTGAGTGGCTGCACAGCTTCACAGGTGATTAATCAGCCCCCTCCCAGTCAGTCAGCTCCATACACAGGAGCTCTGGGCCTCTGACTGCGCAGGGCTGATTAGTCACCTGTGAAGCTGTGCTGCCCTGCAGTTTAGAGGGAACACTAGTTTGCTCCAAAAGGTTCTGTTTCTGTTGCTGGGGTCAGACTCCATGAGCAAGCAGGCAGGGCAGCTGCATTTCTACGGGCCTTGTGCCCTGTGTGAGCTGAGAGAAGCTGAGCCAGGATCAGAAAGCAGGCTGTTGTCCCTTACTTTGCAGCAGGTAGTAATGATGTTAACCCTCTACCTGGGAACATGGACATGTTAATTATAGCAAGGGGAAACTGGGAGGGAAAAATAACATCTGTGTTAATTGTATGCTTGGAATGCTGTTTTGATTTTAGCCAAACTGTTCTAGTTAATTTTCTCAGTTAGTGTGATCCTTCCAGTCCTCTTTAAATGTAGTACTGGGGAAAGAATCATTTCTATTTTATTCTCAGTTTTTGTATTTTATTGTAACAGTTTTCTTTAAGTCTGTATACTTATGAGTTAATTCACTGGTTAATCCAGTTAGTTAGCTGGCTGTTTAGCAGTGATCCATAGCAGAGGAAGAATCTGCCTGGCCTCCCAACTGAGAATACCTATAAGCAAGTATAGAGATGGTTCAGACTTGGAATATTGTGTAAATTTGATGATCAGAGATGCAAATGGAGACTTTGGTGAACTAAATCTAAGCTTTTGGGATATCCCAATTTCTTCTTATTGTGTTGTATGGATTGAACTGTTCAGATTTTTCATTTGGTTTTCTCTTTTGTTGTAACTGTGAATACAGTGACTGTGGGTTATAAAATTGGTACGTTAGGTTGTAAAATTAGACTATTTCTTCATCATAAAACTTTATGAAGTTATTTAGTTAAATTAGCTTCTTTTGGGACTTTAATGTATGGTGGCTGACACCTCAATTCTTGCTGAAATTCCGTAAGAGTCTGAACTCTGGGTCTCCAGCTACTTTCTATGGGTATGTCTACACTACGGGACAAGGTCAAATTAATATACACAACTTCAGGTACGTTAACTTCAGAGCTGAAGTCGAAGTACCTTAACTCGACTTTTGGCGCTATCCATACTGCAGGAAGTTGAAGGGAGAACACTCTTCCTTTGACTTCCCTTACTCCTTATGGAAGCAGGACTACTAGCGTTGACTGCAGTGCCCCTCTCAGTTCAAATGTGTTCCTTAGACCCGCTAATTGGAACCCTGGATGATTGAGAGTGGCAGCTTTGATCTTCTCTATGGCTACATCTACACTGGCATGATTTTCCGAAAATGCTTTTAACGGAAAAGTTTTCTGTTAAAAGCATTTTTGGAAAATCACGTCTAGATTGGCAGGATGCTTTTCACTTTTTGCGGAAAAGCGTCCGTGGCCAATCTAGACGCGGTTTTCCGCAAAAAAGCCCCGATCGCCATTTTCGCAATCGGGGCTTTTTGCGGAAAACAGTACTGTGCTGTTTACACTGGCCCTCTTGCACAAATGATTTGCACAAGAGGGCTTTTGCCCGAATGGGAGCAGCACAGTATTTCCGCAAGAACACTGACAATCTTACATGAGATCGTCAGTGTTCTTGTGTAAATTCAAACGGCCAGTGTAGACAGCTGGCAAGTTTTTCCACAAAATCAGATGATTTTGCGGAAAAACTTGCCAGTCTAGACACAGCCAATGGGAGTGGGAGGGGGTATAGGCATTGGAGAAGGGCAGTGAAGTCTAGCCCACCACAAATTACACCAGCACTTAAAAAGGGTAAATATTAAGACCCAAATAATTATAATCATTTCAGTCAGTCTGACACCAGTCCTGGGCAAGATAATGGAGCAGCTAATACAGACTAGATTAATAAACAGTTAAAGGAAGGCAGTATAGTTAATGCCAGCCAACATGAATTTATGGAAAATGGATCCTGTCAAATTAATTTGATAACATGTTTATGAGATTCAAAGTTTGGTTGTAAAAAGATAGTAGTGTTGATGTTAATAGACTTAGACTGCAATATGGCATCTGATTTGGACCACACGGTATTTTTATTTTTTTTTAAACCCTAGAATGCTATAAAATTAACAAGGCATGTGTGACAGGGCAGAACCGCCCCGCCACT